AGTACATGTAGGCAAAAGTAACCCCGTTTCTAAAATTTTTATTTGTGCGCAAAAGCGCATGTAGGCAATCGAGCTGTAGGCAATAATACATGTAGGCAATCGAACTGTAGGCAAAAGTGATGTAGGCAAAAGGTACTGTCGATTTGTAGGCAAAAGCAACCATCTCAAAAAAATTTAGGTCTTTTTTGAAATAAAGTATTCAAAATTTGCAAACCAGTGTTATTTGTCTTGAAACACAGTTCTGAACTGAAATTGGAGTACGTAATATCACAAATTAAATTGACAAGCAATTACAAAAAATATCGCTTCATAATTTTACTATTAATAATTAACGACAACAAGCTGCTTGATGTAATATCATCAGAGTTGATATGACAGAGTCATCCTGAGCATCCTATCTGTGAACGTGTGACGTACCGAACGTCTGCATAGACACGAATGAGACGGAAAGAGTCACTCCATTATATTTTCTCCTCGCTCATCCTAGCTTTCCTATCGGAGTATCATTGACGTGAAAAAGGCACTTGATCTACTTTATTGTGTTTGATTGACTGGCAGGTTTAATCTCAGTCCCAGCCTGGCTGTGGGATCGCCGGTGAATTTTACGTGACAACAACAGCTCGACGGAAAGCGGAATTGATCCTTGAAAATGTTACCGTCGCTTCCCACCGCTGCCAATTCTCGATAGATGTATTTCTGTTTGCAGGAGGTCTTGTAGCCCTCGGCGAAGCCCTCGACCATGTTGCACTCCTGGCCTTCGTTCCTGCAATCAAAAGCTCGCTATCAATATGTATCAGACGATTCTATCTCCATATTACTTTCTTTTTTAAAAATACATTTAGTTAACAAGAAATGTGTAATATATGACATAAATAGAAGTACAATTTTTATTTATTAAAATAGAATGCACTTGACTGATTTCGCAGTTGAAGAAAAGATTTTAGCTGATTTTGGAATGAAGTTTCTCATCATTTTAAAAAAGTATGATTGGCGAATATAACTGTAAGTAGAAATGATTTAATTTCATTTGTAATTAAATCCCTTTTTCTCCTTTAATTTTACAAATTAGTTTATAATTGCTTTGTACATTTTTTAAACATTCAGTTTGTGACCTAAGGAACCCATTCAGACAATATAAAGTTTAAAATCGGAACATAAAACGTCTTTGGGCACTTTTCCGTTTTTGGACGTTGTCTAGGAAGGAGTTGCATGATATCTCATTAAAAAAAATTTTTGAATATATGCATTCGATTATCAAGTACTAAAATACAATTGTTCTTACAAACAAACTTCAATGCGTATTCCTTGTTTCAAGTCATCCTGGTTCACGATGAACAACCATTGATTTTCCTTGTTCTGCGCGGTTTGCGGGTATACCACTTGTTCCTGCGAATTTAACGATTAATGATTTTAAATGTTAATTACTAATTCGAATATTTATTACACAATGCAGAAGTAATCTAAGGAAATTAAAGACTTATTCAAGAGAATAATAACAAAAAGGCCAAATCAACTCACACGAATTGGACAAAGCACTGATTCACGCGACACCGTGTCTATCCTTTGTTCGACGTCGCCGATGTCGGACATCTGAAAAAGCACCTATACAGTGAGTGTAAAAAGTATTCATACAGAGAAAATATTTTTTAAAAGAATCTTATTTTTTAAAAGTAAATATTATTCAGCGAGAAATGAGTTATTGAATTGATGTCGAATCGATATCGATGATTTCTACACCAATTCGACGTCGATTCGACGTTTAATTGACGATCATTTCTTACTAGGTAAATAACAATTTATTCATAAAGAATAAAATAGATTGTTGATGGTTCTTAAAATTATATATACCAAAAAGATGTATATTAATTATAGAAAATATATCATCTGAAAAATAAGGGAAAATTAAAAATTCTATTGTTTGGATGCTCAAAAAATATTCGTACAGTTAAGAAATTTAGCTTCTAAAATTAGGAATATATGTGAAACTCGTTTGTTTATTTAGAACAGAATATATTTATTGTATAAAATTGCTAATTAATGTTTATTTTTTATAAATAAGACTTTTTTTATAGAAAATTTTCTTGTACGAATACTTTTTGCTCTCATTGTATATATACCGATAAGATATTTCGCGGAATTTAATAAACGACGTAAAATATTAAATGTATTCAAGATCAAAACTGTAAGTACAGTAATACATTAAAACCGGCATAATTTCATCATCAATCTCGAACGTAAAAATAATCTATACATATATGGAATAAACAGTTTTGTTGAAATGTCTAACAATTTAGCTAGATACAGATATGAAAATAATTTTGTTTCTATTTTTGTAGAACACTTAAACTGATTGCTGGAATGTTAAAACTTTTTGTAGTATTGTCATCAACGTTTAAGGTAAATGTATTAGTGTATATGATTCAATTAAACAAAATGACAAAAATTTTAAATATTAAGCTTTAATGATACATACGATTCTAAATAAATTTATATAAACAACGATTAAAGTCGTAAATATAATTAAAAACTTAATATTAAAAATTTTTCTCATTTTCTCATTATCCAATAACTGTCTAATAAATTCTATTAAATTCTATTAAATTCACCAACTGTTCAATGACTAATACGTTTATTTTAAGCGTTCTATATAATTATTTTGATGATTCAATAAAATTATTTTCAGATCTGTATCTAATTAAATTTTTAGATACTTCAGTAAAACCATTTTTCCGTGTATAATTTGAAATGATAATGATTTTAATTTAGACTCCAGATCTTTCATTGTCACTATATTGCATAAAACGACAAAAAAATCGTAAAGTTGAAAAATACTTCAACGTCATTTTCGCGTGTCTCGTATATCGAAAGTTTACATAACACGCCGAGATTATGTCAGTTTCGCAATTCTTTGTTCTGTAAAAACGTATACATACGCACAGTTGGATAATTATAGCAGAATATAAAATAATCTTCATCTTGACGCAATATGATGAGCTAATGATATGTTGAGCTAATAATAAAGCGATCGCTCACGCGTTCTTATGTGTGACAAAATCATTTCTAACCGAATCGACAGTATCGACACTCTCCAGGAATCTCAAACTGATGTTCCGCTGTATCGCTGAGTTCACCAGTTGCCTGGGATAGTCGGCAACGTTCTCGCAAAACGTACTTTTGCGGCAGGTCAACGTCGGCAGCATCGGTGTTTCCGACATTGAGACCCTACCGTCCGGGAAAATAATTTTCTCATCGGAATTCCTGTGCATTGATGTGCCCGTGTGCCTGTGCGATATATCCGAACTCCTGTACATCGACATATCAGTGCTTGAATCTACAAAGGAGAAAGATACCTCAGCAATATTTATTATGAATATTTTTTAAAATCCTTCCACAATTGTTTCGGAATTTCTGTACAATATCAGAATTTTTCACATTTTTCTATATGATTATAAATTTTTAGAAAATTTTTCAGATTTTTTTATATAATACAAATTGGAATACTTTTTAGACATATTAAGAAAGCTAACATATTTTTTTAAATATTTTATATATGTAAATTCTGAAAGCTTAGAAAATTTTTCAATCCATAATTTTCAAAGAAAACTTATAAAAATTTTTTTTTTAGAAATTTTCATAAAGTCAAATTCTCTTAAAGATATTAAAAGTATGAAATATAATGAGAATTTTTCATCAAAATGATGACATTTTTTCCTAAAATTCTTCACATAATTTTCTATATAAATTTCAGAAATTTTTATAATTTTTATATAATTTAATTTTATGGCGTTTTAGAAAATTTCTATGTAATTTATTTCTACAAATTTTTTATACAAATTGGAACATAGCAATGCAGAGAAAGTCTGTATCTTTTCCAGAATACTTTACGCAAATTCTGAGATATTCAAAATTTATTTCTCATTCTATAATTTCCGAAGAAAACTTATAATA